ATTAGCAAAGACCCCCCTATAATAGTTAATCAAAGTCGAAAAACTCCTTAACAACTTTTCGTGATGCCCAATCGCGGATTGTCCAGCTGGCGTAAGTTTTTGGACACGAAAAGTCAAACATACCCTTGAACTTCAAAATTTTGAAATTTATTGTTTTAACCCAAAATTTTATAAGCGCCAAATTAAAATTTTTAGAATTTTCAATTCAGTCCTTTTCATTTTCGAAAAAGCCCTCTTCTTCAATCTGCTCCACATCGGCAGTGTTTGCTGCCATCCAATCTGCTCCACATCGTCACTGTATGCTGCCATCTTCAATCTCCATCATCAAACAATGCATAAATTTCCAAAAATTGAAGAACATAGAGAAAAGAACGTCTTCCCCAAAATTCTTCTTCTTCCCCATGGAATCACCACCACCAACACCTCCGCCCCATCCCTTTCCTTCCACCACCTGCCTCCTCCGATACCCTCCGTTACAGAGGCTAATTCCCTTCTCCTCCACCGCCCAAGTTCTGGAAACCCCCCTCCACAAACTTGGGGTTTTGCTGCAAATGGTTTGCACAATTTTTATTTCCCTTTTTTTTTTTTCTTTTTTTTAGTATTTCTTTTATAAGGATAATTGGGTTATTTTACGTAAGTCAACAATAAATTTTGAAATAAAGGCCGGTGTGCTTTGAAAACCACAACATAGGGGATTTCTTGCTAATTGTTTTAACGGATGATGCTTTTTGGCAATTAGAAATAACACAGAGGGATCTGTGCTATTAGCTATATATATAGAGTGGTCCATTACTTGGTTCGCCTCTTATGGCTACCCTGTATAGGCTAGTGTAGCTGTGTATGGGTGTGAACGAGCCGAGCTCGACTGTTTTGGCCGGCTCGAGTTCGAGTTCATTTTGCCGAGCTCGAGCTCATCGAGTTATTTTTTTGGCTCGAGCTCATTTAGTTTTATTTGCAAAATCTCTAATTTCATATGATTGATTTCCTATACTCATTCACCCAACATGTTCTGACTATTAAACATAGAATGCATCTTTATTGCATACAGATGTTCAAGTAGGATTTTTAATCCCAATCAGAGGACTATTAAACAGAGAATATATGACCATGTTGCCATATTATGTTCTTAATTCGTCTAGTTTAAGGCATCTCTACTATACAAATTAAGTTACATACAAAAATAAATTATTGTAGTTTTTTTAATATGTATGGATTCTTAGGAACTGTAGCTGGTTTGAGGAGACCAATTTAATTATGAAAAATGAATATTATAATTGTAGTGTTCTTTAGTTAATAGTATCATTTTCTTTTCATTATTTTAGTTAACACTATTTTTCCCAAGGATAGCACATCTCTAATCTCTCATGTATCTACTATGTTATGAGAAATATAATACAAACAGGGGTTAGATGCCAATTTTTGTAGACATATTCTTGGGGACAAACTAGTCATGTTATTAATGGTACCGATGAATATTTCTAAGTTATGGTTTAATTTAAACGATCAATGATCTACTTGTCCTTGGTTAAATTATTTCTAGTTATCCCCACAAACTAATGAAATAATCGACTACAAGTTCTTCTATGCTTGATTACTTTTTTTTTTTTGTGGTGGACAATAATTAAATGTCTTATGTAATATAATTTCAATACTGAAGATGATAATTCTCCATCCAAAGAATTGGTATAAAATTGAGTATGAACACATAAAATATAGTTTTATAGTCGTTCTTTCGTTATTAACTCAAGTAATTTATTTCCTATATTTTGTTTTTCCTTTTGTAACAGGTGAATGGTGGTGATCAAGAACTACCAAATTTGAAATGCTATGCTTTGATGTAGTTCGGAATTATTTCTTTCATACTAAGTTTTCGTTAACACATTGTATTTCGTTAATAAAATTTTTTTTTTTTATTTATTTATTTATTATTATTATTAAATTTTTATTGAAAATTATTTATAATAAAATGAAAAAAAAAACAATGAACTGTAGTTATTTGTTTAAATTTTTTTATATTATTATTATTATTATTATTATTATTATTATTATTATTATTATTATTATTATTATTATTATTATTATTATGAATTATCTAAGTAATATAGATTTGTTTCTATTTAAATAGTAGAAATATTTATTATTATAGACTATTTACTATAATAATAATAATAATAATAATAATATATATAATATATATATAAAAAAAAAAAGCAGCTCGCGAGCTGTCGAACAATTAGAATTGGGCTCGGGCTCGAGCTCGAGCTCGTCCGAAGCTCGAACTCGTGAGCTCGAACTCGAATAACCCGAGCTCGAGTTCGAGCCTTTTTCAAGCTGGCTCGTCGAGTTCGTGAGCCGGCTCGACTCGTTTACCACCCCTAGGTTTGTGGCTTGGCTTAGTGCGTTATGCATAAGCGGGTTTGAACTTTGTTTGTAGAATTTTATTGTTTAGACTTTTGAAACAATCTAGCCCGTGTCTATCACCGTTGACCATCGATCGAAATTAATTAATACAAAACTTCTAAATTACAAAACTTCTAAATTTCAAAACTTCTAAATTGCAATATAACATTTACATGACCCAAGTTCATGTTTCTAAAGTTTTTATCAAAAAACCATAACATATGATGTAATAGAAATCATCACCATTGACCATCGAACAAACTGGCAGAAACAATAATATAATACTATAATTAATGTCCATTTTATAGTATAAAGTAAACAGTGTGACCGGTGAAGGGTAACAATTTGTACCAACTACAAGTATTACGTGGCCTGGACTTTTAACCATAAAAATTAGTCATGTTCAAGGATACTGTTAAGTGTATATTTTTACACTTAATCGTGCCTTTTAATTGGAGCTTTTGGTGTGTTTTAACGATAATTGAAAATTTGGAAAAGTATGGGGTAAAAACTGCAATTTTGAAGAAAATATGGGCCAAAAGTGAAAAAGTCAAAATTCTGAAGATTTGAAGCCCAGACGGCCGTCCGAGTTTTAGTTCAAAATGTTGGACAGCCGTCTGAGATCACGAGGCATCGCAGTAAAGGGATTTTAATTGCACAAGGAAACTGCCTTCTTCCCCAAGTTTTCCACCTTATATAAGATGAAGTCAAGCACACAATTCAGGATCCATCTTTTACGCAATTTCAAGAGCAACAAAGCAATAACGAAGACGAAGAATTCGAAGACTCCAAGCATTGATTTATCGTCTATGATTTATTTTATTTGCGTTTTTGCTTTAATCATGAGTAGCTAAATTACTTATTTCTAGGATTTTATTTGGAACCCTATATGGGATTTATGAACCCAATTCTATGATTTTATGCAAGTTTTAATTCCGGATTATTTCTTCTACTTGTTTTATTAAGTTCACGAAACTGGCCACTTTATGTGCTTTTATGTTATTGTTAATCACATGAATCGGAAGATCGGGTTAATAATTAGAATTGTGGTAGAAGAGCCTTTGTGGTATTAACATAGGAATATAGTTAATCTCTTAGGTAGCCATTATTGAGATTTGAGCTTAATGTTGTGTTCTAGAATTAATTGCGTAGGAATACAGTAATTGAATCTAGAATATTAGAATCGTAATACACGCGGAAGTGGGTTATGCTTAATTTAGCATCTCAGGTTAATAATCCGGGTTAATCGCTTGCATAATTAAAGGAATTGGGGGAGTAATAATCACATAGGGGGAAGAATAAAATCCTAGGCTTGTCTACTTTGATTAATATTCGTGTTTAAGTTGCTTTCTGTTTTTTGCCTTTTTTATTTGCTTAATTAATTTAACTTAATTTAGTTAATCTTTTTCAAATTTGATTGTGTATGGTGGGCTTGATAGCAATTGGAAGAATTTAGCGTCTATGATTAGATAATTAAATATTTTATGTGGGATCGATACTTGGACTTAAAAATCCACTTTATTACTTGTACGAAACGTGCACTTGCGTGTAGGTATTACACCCAACAGATACTTAATTAGTTAATGTACAATTTTTTTTTAAATTAAAAGTTAGAGCCATCCAAAATTTTCAACTTGGATTTTATGATGAGGACAATATATTGGACAATAAATTACAGCTAGCGTGTACGAGTAGGAACTTTTTGATTCAACTTATATAAATAATAAACTCATGTATATTTGAAGTTGTAAGTGATGTGTGCATACTTGAACGAGACGACAATCTGCAACTATATTTCGAACTATATTAGGTAAATTCCATCCTTGTACAGTAGTTCGCAATTAGTCACACCGGAAGTCGTAAATCAAATAATTAGGCAAATAATTAAGCTACACCTAGAAATGAAATGTATCGAATTCGTAGAAAAAAAGCCTTTGGCTATACATTTGATACAAATTTGCCTCGTAGCATGTACGATCGTAATAAAAACTTTGCTACGGTAAACGGCTGTATCAAATATATATATATTTTTTTGCTACGGTAGATCCTAGCATTTACTACGACGACTGCAAGATTGTCGCGTAGTAAAAGGTACCGTTTGTTACGGCTTTTTACCGTAGCAAAAAAAAATCGTAGTAAAAAGTGATTTTTCTACTTGTGATTTAATGATGTAATTAAAACATTAAACATGTTGAAACATGAAAGCATGAGACTGCAAGAACATGCATCTAATTATGTTAAATAACAGAAGAATCATTTGACAAACACAGAGTCTCATTTGTATACAAAAGAAAAAGAGACCATTTTTTCACATGAATTAAACAAACCTGCATATATTGATAATCGACCTAGATCGATCATCTCTCTTCAATGTTATATTCACGAATTAAATTGTCCTAGACATTGAGAAAGGTTCTAGATTTCGCGCAACATGGTAATAATGTAAAAATTTGGATTTCGCATTTCTGGTTTCGGAAGAACATCGTGTTAATAGACGGCTCTAGATTTGCAGCCAATGGAGGAAAAACGAAGCAAGAATTACAAATTGATTTTATTATTTCCTTACAAATTAAATTAGGGATCTTCAAGTATGAAGGAGAAAAATTCACCAAACTCCAATCTGAGTCTCTAAATAAATTCAATACCAAGTCCTAATTTTATTAGCAAAAAAATGAATGAATTAAATTAAATAGATACAAATGCTTGAGATCTAGGGTTTACAAGAAATTTCAACAATAAAATTGAGAAAAATCGGAACAAAATAATGAAATAAATTAAAGAATGCGTATCATGTTCACTTACTAGTACTTGAACTACACTCCGATAAAAGCTCGTCCAACAAATCGGATCCCAAATCCTCAAAAACCACAACATCCTCTTCACTAACTTGTTTATTTTTTTGCTTTTGCACTTTCGTCGAAGCACTTATCATTTTATTCGACTCCTTTAGGGCTTTCGCAGGCGAGGAGCCCTCTTTGCAGGTATAGTTCATCTTCTTAAGTGATTCCACAACTTTTTCCAACGGAAAATTGAGCGGAGTCGATGGGCCCCGCATTGCGAATGCAGCTTGATCGTACGCTAAGGCCGCCTCTTCTTCGGTGTTGAATGTTCCGAGCCAAACCCTAGCTCCATTCCTTGTGGAATCTCGTATTTCCGCCGCGTATTTACCCCATGGCCTCTTTCTTACTCCAATGTACCGTTTTTCCCTTTTACGGTCTTCACCGTTAAGTGTGTGCTTGCAGGATTCTTCAACTTCTTGATTTGTAGTAGAGGTTTGAAATGACAAGAGGCAATTATCTTCTTCTTGTTTGAAATTGAATGAAGAATCCATGTCCATATATATTTTGCCTAGTTAAAAGAGAGAAACAAATGAATAAAAGGGGATCACTATACAAAGATGTTTCTCTCTCTCTCTCTCTCTCTCTCTCTCTCTCTCTCTCTCTCTCTCTCTCTCTCTCTCTCTCTCTCTCTCTCTCTATATATATATATATATATTCAAAATTATGTTTTGTGAGAGAAAAATATATGTTTGCAAGAATCTAGGACAACTTGTATTGCTTGGCTTCTAACATAAAAGTTTGGGGGATGTTTTTGTTTGCTTTAGGCCAATGATAATTTGTGTAATGAAATTATTATTGCAATGATAGGTATTATAAGCTGTAAAGAGTCAATAGAATTAAGTTAGCAAAATTATTTAGATAAGGTGTTCTTCGTTTTGAATTAGTTTTCCTTTTTTTTTTTTGTGCGTACGTCTTTTAGTTTTGTTAAAAAAAATTCCCTTTATAGAAATTCGGGTTGGATAGAGTTTAAATGTTATTAATTCATAGTGTTAGCAAAAAAGATTTAAAATTCTGATGAAAAAAACATTAGAATAGAGAACTAACTTATTGACTAACCTAATGATATCATAGCTTAATTAGGTCAATTTCGTACGAAATTGAGATTACAATGATTAGGAAAACAAAAGGAAAAGGGAATAAAAAAAAAACAGAAAAGAAAGAAGAAAAATAAATTTATGAGATGCATGCACCAAGTATATATAATGGGATTGAGGGCGACCACCCACGGAATCAGCATAGGTCAGGGGGGCCACGCCCCCCTCCTTTCATTTCTTAGTTCCCAATTATTTTATTTAGAAAAATGAAAAATTTTGTATATAACAGCATTGACGGGCCCCACTCAGATTTTTTTTTAATGTATTCACACCCCCCACCCCACTGTAAATACTACCACTAGTGCATGTGCTTATAGCTCAACTGATTTTGAGAGTAGTGAATTGGTGCAATGTCCTAGAATTAAGTACTGGCAGTAGCATGATAATTTAACTTCAATGAGCGTTTGTTACTTGTGGGTACCAGGCTCAGATCAGCCGCTCTAACGAATTGTTGAGTTACCATGATTTACATTCATTAATAAATAAATTGTCAGGTGGGGGAATGAAGACCACGAGGGCGAACAATTTTGCCTTTTGGTACAAGGATTGACGAGGACGCAAAATATTATATATGAAGGATGATGTATTTTCGTCTAGACATTAAATAAGATTAGATTTTAAGTTAATATATATAGTTCCGAAAATATATATATAGGAATGTCAAAAAACCTAGTCCGCTAGTTATTCATAGGTATCCGCCCCGTTTAAAACCCGTTACCGAAACCATTAAGGTTTAATAATTGTTTTGGTAAAAGAAATACAAAGCATCACGGCATTGGTATGATTCTGGTTTCACCCCGTTGGTAATAAGTATATATATATATATATATATATATATATATATATATATATATATATATATATATATTTAATATCTAATGAATTGCTTAAGTACATAAGAAGTTTTGCATCATTATGGTCAATTGTATATTCTAAGTTTCATACTTCTTAAGTTAATTATTTACATTTTCAAAATCTTGCAGTAAATATTGCTATTTTAATTATCTTTTTAGTTGTTGTGGAACTTCAATTTTGATAACACATCTTATTTTATTTTGTATAATTCGCTTAAAGTCATTTCGTATAACTTAATTTAAATGGTAAATGGATATCAGTGGGGTATCTGAATATTGAATATTAGTGGTAACGGTTATAGTATTTTGATTAAATTTTTAAATGAATTCGGTATAGTTCACGCCTAAAATATATTAAATGGTAATGATTCTGGTATTTCATTTTTTCGAGAATACCCACTCCACTCTCATTCATATATATATATATATATATATATATATATATATATATATATATATATATATATATATATATATATATATATATATATATATATATATATATATATATATATATATATATATATATATATATATATATATATATATATATATATATATATATATATATATTTTTTTTTTTTTTTTCAAAAATTAATTTATGCTTAGAAATCACATCACCCCAAATATTCGGTTGTTGTGAAATTGGTTTCTCCATTTGTGAATTAATTCAGAAGTTCTACAATCTCTGCAACTCCAATTGGCCCTCTCTTTTGTCTTCTTCCGTCGGCGGATGTTATCTGATTTACGTACACAAAATAATATTAAATAACAACAACTTGTACTTTAAATAATTAATTAAAATTATAATATAAGATCTTCCATTCTTTTGATCAATTGATAACTTTAGGGTTTGCTTTCGTTTTGTTTTTTTCACTTTTCAAACAATCGTCATTA